GCAATTGATGTCTCCTGGAGAAGCACAGTCCTTCCACATTGGGTAGCTGTATTCAGCACTGCCCCCCCTCCCCCCACAAAAAAAAACAACTTTTTATTACATTTTTGAGATGGTGTGTGCTCGTGTGTCAAAGCATACATATAGAGTTTCTTTCACCATGTAGGTCCCAGGGATAACTCAGGCTGTCAGACTTCCAGCAAGCACCTTTACCTCCCAGGCCTCTGCATCTTATTTTTATATTTTTAAAATTAACATTACAAAGTAATGATTTTCCATAGGGTTCTTTTACACGCTCAGTTTTAGTTAACACCCCCTCCCTCTGGATAATAATTACTTTTAAATAAAGCATCTACATATTAAATATGCCTTTATTTACTACTATAAATGCTATGAGATCAATTGGGAGTCATGGTACATGCGTGAAATCCCAGCACTGGGGAATCTTAGGCAGAGGACTACAAGTTCAAGGCCAGCCTGAGCTACGTAGAGGTAGTGTGAAGAGAGAAAGAAGTGTAATACCAAGAAGAAACAACACACACAGTATCACCTATGGCACTCCACTAAGTCCATTGGATATAAATTAGAATTCTTGAGAGGGATACACACTTTCCCTGAAGAAGGCTGGTCCCTCTCCTCTCTCCTGTGATTTACACGGTCTCTGAAGTAAACCCAGAGTGAACTAAGAGCTCAGCTGTGCTAGATAAGTCACCCATGGCATAAGCACCTTGCTCTTGCCTCTTCTCCTTGGTCCTGACTGTCTGGTGTCATTGTATTAATCTCATGACTGGTTCTTATGGTGAGACATTTTTATAACATCTTAAGAGGCAGTCTATGAAAATGATCTCTTTATTTAGTTTTGTTAAGAGAATGTGTACTTCCAACCAGTTTGGAGCACGTGGGAGAATGTTAAACACGGGCTGTGGATTCGCCTGAGGCCAGCTTGTGCCCCAGCCTGAGACCAGCCTGGGTGGGGCGGAAGGGAGGCCCAGCTGAACCTCGCACCAGCTGCAGACTGGCTTTGTGTCAGCCTGCTTCTCCCAGCCCCGTTTCTCTCCTCTATGAGGTGAGCATCATAATGCCGTGGACAGTGACTTTCTTTGGGGATTAAAAAGAAGCTCGGCACATTGTAGGCTTAATAAGAGACGTCAAACAAACGGTGCAGACCAGAGTGCTCATATCCTTCGGAAATGTCTAACATCGCCTCAAGTGTTTGATGGGAATAGCTGCGTCTGGGGGTTTTCTGGTTCTTTCCCTCAGCATGTGGAGCTGTGGGACCTGGTCGGGTTTGTGTGCAGGAGCAGCCCACTCCTGAGTTCTGTGAGCGCTTGAGCTCAGCCTGGGCCGTGCGGTGTTCTGCGGTATTTCTCGCTTTCCATCTGTCTGTCATACAACAAACGTCTGACTCTGTGTTCACTGTGGTGATGGCGAGAGGGGGAAAACACAAAATACCGAGCAAATAATTGGTGGGAGCACCGGCCTAGATTGACATCCCGCCCCCTCCACCTCCTACTTTACACTTGTCCTCCTCAGACTATTGTCAGCTCCTCTCTGGCATACACAGGGCCTGAAGGATGGGCCCCTTGTTGGGGGGCAGCTTCCCCCAACCGGCTTTCACTAGCCCAGCTTGTTTCCCATAAAGGTATCGCTCAGAAGTAGAGTTCTCTGCATCAGTCCAGCTAGAGAATTTCTGTGGCTCCCTGCTGGAACGGAAGTGGCACTGCTTGACATACTGCAGGCATAACTAACATGTGCCAATAAATACTCCTAATCACGTATACCTATGTGCGCGCGCACACCAACATGCCACATGTGTTCTATATATGTCTAAAAATTAATGAATTTTGTAATATGTATATATGCATGTATGTATATGTATTTCTTTTTTAATTTAGTTTTTCAATACAAGGTTTCTCTGTGTTGCCCATGTTATCCGGGAACTCTCTGTAGATCAGGCTGGCCTCGAACCTACAGAAATACTCCTGAGTGCTGGGATTAAAGGCATGTGTCACCACCCCCTGGCCAAAATGAATGAATTTTGTAAATAAATTTTGTAATATCCACTTAAGTTTTTCGCTAAAGTTACCTTTTGAAATTTTCCAAACTCTAGGAAAAGGTAAAAAGTTCTGTCCTTTTCATAGAGTCACCGATTTTCGTGCCCTTAGACACATCGCCCCTGTCCTCCACCCCCCTCTCACTGTGGTGAACGGATCAAGAGTTGCAAAGACGTGAGCCCGCCCTCACTCCCACCCACACACCCCCACCCTGCATCTCCAAGGCGCCGTTACCAAATCTATAGAAGTGAGACGAACCCTTCTGGCATCCTGGGGCTGCCTCCCGTCTCCTCTGACTGCCCTGGCCGTGGGTTCTGTGTTCCCGCTCCACACACTGTTCCTGTGTCATTCATCCCTTTCCGCAGTGCCTTCCGCAGACGGAACCACGTCCCTCAGGGGTATGTCTAGGCCCTTTTCGTGTGGAACCATGGTGCTATCTTTCCCGGCCAGGCATTTCAGAATAGGGCCCATTCTAGACTTTTCTCATTTTATCTGTCTTCCCACTACCTATATTTTCTGCAAACTAATAAATGAGTTCTTCTATCGACACTCTTCTTTTTAAATAACAGAATGATTAATTAGTTAAATTTTTTTTTTTGAGACAGGGCCTCACAGTGTAGCTCAGACTGGACTTGAACCTTGTCTTCCAACCTTTGAGCTTTGAGAGTACAAATGAGCAGCCATCCCTGGCTCCAAACCACAGTTTTGGAAAGGGCCATTCTAGAGGCTTCTGTCACACACGCTGTCCTCTTCCTTCACCTCTGATACCTTTTTTGTCAGACAGGACCCACGTGGCTCTGTTGTGAGCACAAAGCCTGGTGTCCGCAGTGGTACACCTGGTTCTCCTCTCGCTGATTGGCTGAACTGGGCGTGGCTGCTCACCCAGCATTCGGGCGCCAGCCATGGCAGCCTGAGAGACAGAGTAAGTTCCAGGCCAGCCTGGGGTACAGAGTGAGACCTTGTCAAAAATAAAAAATAAAAATGAAAAAGAGAAGGAGGAAGAGGAAGATGAGGGGAAAAAAGGGGAAGAAAGGGGAAAGAAAGGGGGAAGGGCCTTGAGTCCCGCCTGGAGCAGCAGTGCTGTTTGAGCCCTTGGGGCAGTACAGCAAACTCAACAGAGTGAGGTTGTGGGCAAACAGGATGCTCAGCCCCTGTTAGGACCCCAGACGCCAACCCCTCTCTGGAGCTTCCCTGTGCTCAGAGGTCTGGTTTCCAGGGCTTTTCTGTCACCATCGGAAGGAATGATCAGCTGGACAGCGTTTTGGAGAAAGGGTGGGGTGAGGAATGGGTTGGGGAACGAGTTTAGGCTTATTTACAGATCATCTCCTAAACCCATCTCCATTTTAGAAACATAGACTATGAAAAGAAGAAGAGAGACTGTTTTGCAGCAAAGGTCTCGCTTCCTCTTTATTCTGGGAAACTACCCCTTGCCACTTTGCTAGTTTCAGAAAAGGAGTGGCTGGCCCTCAGAGACTTCACACCCTGCCTATGGAAGAAATGGAGCCCAGGTCCCAAGAGCTAGCCAAAACCTGTGGGAGAGCAGGACAGTGAGCAGAGCTGTGCGGCTTCCATTCCTGTCACTTACGAAGCCGGTGAGCAGAGCCGGGAATTCAATCTTAAAGCCACACTGCATCCAGTGAGCTGGCCATGTGAGAAGACAATGGGTTAATTAACAACCTGGAAAATCTCTACCATCTCACCCCAGCCAGCAGATTAGGGAAGGGGGTGAGGGGAGACCAAGGTGGTCAGTCACCCAGAGTTCAATCCTGCCTCCCTGGTTAGGTTGGCAGCCAAGTTCCTGAGATTTCTGTGAAGTCCCTGCCTCTTGTTTTCATCCGGGCACTCTTCACTTGTTCTGTGGCTATTTGGGACCAGGTCCCATTTGTTCCTTTTCCTCCTCCTGTTCTTCTTTTGGATTTTTGATAATATTTTTTTTTGAGATGATAATATAATGACATTGATTCAGGCACTTCCTCAAAGGCTGAGTCAAATTAGTTTCTACACCAGTCTTGGACTCCTTCTGGGGCATTTGGGGCTCGGGCTGGGGGCAGGGGTGACTCAGAGCAAACAAACATTGTGCCGGCACTCACCCCTTAGTTCTGTCTGTCTTTGCGGCTGGTAGGTATAGATGACGTCATTGTCTTGTGGGGAAGCCTACCAGACTGGACCATCTGAACAGTCTTTCAAGCATCCTTTCTCCCTGACCTATGTCTTGACGAAGGCAACACCATGTGTGTAGGCTCCCAAGCCCCGTACAGTAGACTCTAGATGTAAATCCCACCGCCGGTGGAGACTCCGGCCCTTTGTGTTACTTGTCTTTCGGGAACGCAAACTAAACTGACAGCGTTATACCCACTGTGGTCCTCTGTCTCCAGCCTTTTCTCTGTCTCCTTGCCTTTGTTGCCTGCTCCATCATGAAAGGATTTATGCACTGGTTCATGGGACAGAATTACCCGGGGTCTCTATGGCTACCCCTGAAAAGCCTTCCTGGATCTCCTTCGCTGATTTTGACACCAGATTTAAACCCATCTCATCTCAACCTTCAGGAAGCTTCTCGGACCAGCGCCTTCTCTTCTTGCCTCAATTAGAAGTCCTGTCCTTCATTAGGACTCGTGTATCCTGTGTCACAGGCTCGTCCGAGCATACTGTAATGCCAATTCACACTCCTTTGCCACAAAAACAGGAGCACCTTTATTGTAGGAATTGGGTTGTTGTAAAGGGGAGATGCTCAGTAAAGAGTTTTCAGTGAATGAAGGAAGGAACCAACAAATAACCAAGATAACCTGTTTCCAAACAGCATCCACCTTTGAGTGTATTAATCAGTGTGTAACAATGAATAGAAGCATATTCTTTTTGATCTTCTTTAATACAGAGATTTGAATGGCTTTAAGCCAATTCTGGATTGATTAAAAAAAAAACAACAATGCCATTGCTTTTCTATTCCAACAGGAAATATGGGATGTATAAAATCAAAAAGGAAAGACAATCTGAATGACGATGGAGTAGATTCGAAGACTCAACCAGTACGTAACACTGACCGAACTATTTATGTGAGAGATCCAACGTCCAATAAGCAGCAAAGGCCAGTAAGTAGAATAGTCTCAGGGGAGAGATCCCACCACAGGATCAGAGCATGGCTGTGCAATTAAAACCGCAATCTTGCATGCAAAGAAATCATATTGTTCACATAGACCCCGAATAAGTTTAATATGCCTCATAACTTAATCCTTTGAAGAATGCGTAGAGATTTTATGGATAATGAGTTGCATGTTTACCATAGAGAAAGGCATCTTTCATATTCCTATTGCAAAGACCCAGAATAGATTCAGGCCCGCATGACCGCAGGGCAGGTTAGCAATATCAGCTCCATGTTCTAGGGACAAGAGGATTTGCTGGGTTTAAACCAGAAGCTAAAACACAAGCTAGTGGGACATTGCATTTTATTCTATCTTGTCTTTTTGTCAACTGATTTAAAACAATACAAAGACTGTGGTTGTCACGATTTGTGATGGTTGAGTAAAAGGTTAAGAAAAGGTGCATCTAGCTTAGTCTCCAAACTTTACATGGCTGCCCACATTAAATACTTGACATGAGTGATGGGTCACCTGATGCATTTGGGAAAGAAGTGACGCCATATTTTAAAGCCTCGGGGAATTCAGAACCTGCAACAACTATAGCTAAATTTGCTTTACTTTGGAGCTTGTAACCTGGCATGTAGTCTTCCACTGGATGCCTGTATACCTCCCACACCCCGGTTTTTACAGACTGTTCTGGCATTTAAGATGAAAACAACTTATTCCGATTTAGCCCAAATGGCTTTATGACAGTTTGCCAGGCGTGGTGGTGTCTGCCTGCAATCACAGCACTTTGGCAGCAGAGGCAGGCAGCAGCCTGGTTCACGTAGCAAGTTCCAGGACGGTCAGGGCTATAGAGTGAAACCCTAACAAAACAAAAACAGAAGCAAAGAACAAAACAGAGCATTTGCTGTTTCTCCGGTTGTATCTATGTTTTTAAGAGACTTGGAAACATATTTATTTAGAAATAGATTGTCACTGTCCAGTCCTGCTGAGGACCGTTGCCTAGCCCGTCCCCATTATCTATATAACCTATCAGAACCAACTGTCATCAGTTAGACTGATTAGTCAAAGTTAGTTAAAGGGAAGTGGAGATGAATGGTGACTTCATTGCGTTGTTTTTTTACAAGATGTTTCTGGATAGACACTTTACCTACATATCATGTAAAACTGCATAGAGAGGGGCTGGAGAGATGGTTAAGAGCACCGGCTGCTCTTCCAGAGGACCTGAGTTCAGGTCCCATTGCCCATATGGTAGATCACAACCTTCTGGGCCTCTAGTTCCCGGACACAGGACACCTGTCCTGGCCTCTGCCAGCACCAGGCCTATACATGGTGCACAGATACTGGTGAAGGCAAAATACCTAAACTCATAAAAATAAATAAAAAACTTGAAAAAGATATAGAATAACTTGAAAAGATATAGGAAAAAATTATAGCATAGGAAATGTATACACATAAAATGTATAAGATTATTTAAAACATTAGTAATTTGGTGTTGGTGAATGTCTATCAATATACAATTTAAAAACACTTCATAAGTACAGATAGATATAGTTATATTCTTTTTTTTATAGTTATATTCTTAAATAAATGCGATTAATAGAAAAGTAAAAGGCACTGACATCATGGTAGTTTTCTTGTAGAATTCAAAGTTCTTATTAAAGGTTCTATTTATTTCCCTTAACAAATGCTAATTTTTGATTTTATAATTTTGTGATTGATTTTTATTGATTTTATGTGCTTTAAAACCCAAGGGTTTTTTTGTTTGTTTGTTTGTTGTTTCATTTTGGTCTGTTTGGTATGTTTATTTGTTCAGGTGTTTTTTATTTAGGAAATCAAGAAAGACTAGTTAAAAAAAAACCAAATATTCTGTGTAAAAAAGTTTACGAGTCAGTTGGAAATAAATAGTGAACATGCTTAAACCTTTCCGTTCCCTAATGCTTACCAGAAAACTTTTAAGTTCAGGTCTTCCGTGGCCACAGATGATCTCCCAAAGCTCCTTAGTTTGGCCTCATTCTATGACCCTAAGTAGGGCTCTCAGCCTTTGCCGTGTGAAAAATTACACGCACCCCATTGATTATAAAGTGCTCCGAAAGGAGAAGGGGGAACTGATGAAAGGCCAGCAACACTCATGGAAAACCTATCGAAGAGAAAACCTATTAAGAGAAACTCTGTTCTGGAGAGAGGTCACGGGGTCACAGGTCTGTGCTTTGGTCTTACAAAGTGGTCCAGAATGGGCTGGATGAGCTAGCATGACCTGGGAGGGTCGGTTAGTCCTTTAGAGTTCAGGGCCAGCCTAGGCAGCCAGCGGGACTCGCATGAAGACGGGCTTTAATGTCTTTTTAAACTAACCTCTCTGGCATTTGCAGATCAGCTTGCTGCTTTCGGATTCTTTAGTTTTTCATCTAATTGCTTCCTCTAAATCATACCAAATAGACTGTGATTCTTAATTATGCAAATCTGAGTGATTAAAACGGCAGTCTAAAACGTCTTTTAAGTCTCGAATGTTAATATGGGTCCCTGACTTCCTCCTCCTCCTGTCCTTTCCCCAATGAAGTGGAGATTTTACGGGCTATGCTCTCAGAGAAATTTCTATTCCCCTATAAACCTTTTGGTCCTGTTCCCTGAAATGACTCTCGAGGTAAAGCAGAGGAGATGGCTTGAAGTTCAGGCCCTGTCAGGAGGCCTTACACACCCCCAGCAGTGCTCTTGTGAAAAGGGATTGTTTTAGAAGGGACTGCACCCGTCCCTCTGTGCTACCAGGATCTGCTGGCCATGCACCCTGCTGCTGCCATAACTGGAGATGTCCCTGACCCCCAGACAGTCAGGGTCACACAAGAAAGCCTGACTCTGTTGGGCTTGTGTTTCTCTGTTAGTGACAGGGCCTGATCAGATGTTTAAATAAGTTCAGGAAACATGGAGATAGGCGGTGACACCTTCTCAAAGTTGTCGCTGTGATGTTTTGCTGTGCTGGCCCTACCTACTGTTTGGTTTCCATGGCTACTGCGCCTCCAGCCTTTAATTCTTGCTATGCAGAAAGTGGTCCATTTTACTCAGACCTCACCCAACAGTGAGTTTAAGGAATTCTTGTTTGCCTTCTGCAGAGGGGGCTGTAAGTCTAGAAACAGGCCGTGCATGGGGCAAACTGCCACCTCAAATATTAGAGTTCTGTTAAAAACAAGAGAAAGAATCACGGCAGGCTGGCATCTAATCCCATCTTGTGAAGCCCTACCCACTTGGTCTGTTGCCCCAGACCAAGGACTACCTGTCCAGAAAAAGCCCTGAAAATGACCGTATAAGTGGGGCCCTACAGAAGACGGGAGCCTTGCTCTGAGCCTTGCTGGCAACGGCATCACCCTATAAGATTTGTCTGTTTAGCTCTTCTTTCCCGCTTAACAACTGCGAATCTGAGCCTCACCTGTCACTGTTAGAAAATGATAAACAACACGCATGTGAGAAGGCTGAACGTGACTTTTTGTCCCTAACGAATACTCTTTCGTAGGTTTCAGAATCTCAACTTTTACCAGGACAAAGGTTTCAAACGAAAGGTATGTTTTCTTAACAATATGACTACTGTTTAGTTTGCTGTTGTGGGAAATATATGTCTATAAACATATCCCTCCTTGTTTTTTAAATGTGGAGTTCAGAGGCGGGAAATCCGCACTGCTGTGCGAGCCTCACACCCGCATCCATCAGAGAAGGGTTCCATGATCCACAATAGAACTCTATCATTAAACACTCAGGGTTCTCCTCTCCCTTCTGCTCCAGGCAGCCGCCATTATGCTTTTCGTCCCTCTGAATTTGATTGCTCTAGGTAGCCCACGTGGCTGGAAATATACAGCCCTTGTCATCTTGTGGCTGGCTCATTTAATTTAACGGAAAGTCTTCAAGGTTCATCTATGATACATTGTGTGTCAGAACTTCAATTCTTTTTTATTGAATATTATTCTATTGTATGTGCGGTACTTCAATTCTTTTTTATTGAATATTATTCTATTGTATGTGCGGGTCACATTTTGTTCATCCCACTGATGGACACTAGAGTAGCTTCCGCATTTGGGGACCCTGGTAGTGCTGTCATCGCCAGAGGTACATCCTTTCCTAATTAATTCCCAATTAATTAATTCCCTTGGTTTGGTGTATGCAGTCTGCAGTTCGTGTTATTGTAGGTAGGAAGCACACAGCCTTGTACCATGGCCCTTCTCCCCATCGTTTCCTCTCTTCCTGCGTGTTTATGCTGATAGGTTCTGAAAGGTCTCTGCTTATATCTTTTGTTCTTAGATCCAGAGGAGCAAGGGGACATTGTGGTAGCCTTGTACCCTTACGATGGCATCCACCCAGATGACTTGTCCTTCAAGAAAGGAGAAAAGATGAAAGTCCTGGAAGAGTAAGTGTGCCCAGGCCCTGGCAGCATCTTGGCCACGGCTCTTGTAGATGTCTCTTTTGCTTTCCTTAGGTGGCAGGAACAGAGCAAAAGGAACGTCCCTTTCAAGTGCGGCTGTGGGCGCCTCTGTCGTTTCTCCCGACTAGGATAGACGTTAGTTTCTTTCCTCACCAATGCACTCCCTAAGAAGTTTGGTTCCGTGTGGCATGCTACTTAAGATGGCCACTGTGGAGTTTGGGAGATAGCTCAGTTGTAATCTGAGTTAGTGCCCAGGACCCACCTTTGAAAAAGAAAAGGCTGGGCATGTTGGCACAGCCCTGGGGAGGTGGAAACAGGTGAATCCCTGAGGACTCTCTGGCCAGCCAGTCTAGAACACTGGCAAGTTCCAGGCCCGTGAGAGATAGGCAGCATCTGAAGAACGACAGCTGAGGCTCTGCTCTGGCATGTGCACACATGTACACATGTGATGCGTGCTAGCAAACACCAGTGCACCTGTACATTCTTAAATGCACACACAAACTTGAAAGGCCACTTTTCTTTGTTCTATTGCTTGGGTTTAGACAGGGCTCACGGGCTGGTCGGTGTGGTTTCCAAGGGTTTGCTAAGGACGTGGTGCCATAGCCACAGCCATGCTGGAAAGCCCTGCTCAGCTGCAGGCGCTTCTGCCCCGAAGCTGCGTGGATGTTTTGTTTCCTTGACCTATGCGTGTTGACTCACACATGCCTGACTCTGGTCAGGCCACAGGGCACAGGGCAGTGAGGAGGGAGAACAAGGAACTCTGAGCACTTCCTCTAACTTCCTTCTTGCACTGAATTTGCATGAAGCAGCGCCCTGACCCCGATCTGCCAAATGGGGGGAAGAAGGGAGGCTGCCTCACGGAAGATGAGGTTCCAGAGGGCTGTGCCAGAGCTTCAGCATAAACTTGTGTGTAAATGTGGCCCTTCCTTCTGACGGTTGCATGACCTTGAAAAGGCACTCAGTCTGTTCCTTTCAGCTTTGGAAGTTGGCAGGACACCACAGGATTGTGGTGAGTGTGTGTGTGTGGTGTGTGTGTGTACACAGTTGTCTCTGAGCATGTCAGGAATGGGTTCCAGGACCACTGGTATACACTAAAGCCCATGTGTTCTTGTCTTCGACACAAAAATAGCACACCCTCCACATACTTTATTGTAAAATATTTATTCTTTGAGAATTCCATGCACATATACAGTAAACATGATCATATTCACCCCCTCACTTCCTCCAGTATCCCCTGCATCCCACATGAACATCCCTTTCAGCCACATCTTCCTTCTTTCCGTCTCAGAAGCAAGTAAACCCATCAGTGCTGCCCACATGTGCATGAGGGTGGGACCATCTACCTGTGGCCACATCCCTGAAGACCTGTTCTCCCTTGCCAGGCAGCTATCCACTGCCAGGAGAGCTCGTCCACTACTACCCCCCCCCCAGTACATCAAACAACCTCTGGATGATGCCTCGTGTCTCCCACCGTGTGGTTGTGATTGTTATGAAAACAGCCTTATGTTGTACTTAAACAGGGAGGAAGAAGTCATAGACGTAAAAGTTTGCCTAGCGTGTGCAAGGCCCTAGGTTCAATACCCCTGCATGGAGAAATAAAAGCTTTCGGCCTCAAAGCTCCATCAGGGTACAGCTGACTGAATTTGAAGGTGGAGGAGGCACAGGCTGCCTGTGTGGATAAACAGTTCACAGGTACAGCTCACAGTTAGTTAGAATCGCCTTTTCCTCACAGACCGGGGTCTGGTCTGTCAGGGCGGGGCGGGGGGGCATTTGGAGAGGAACACAGAGGTTTTCAAGGACCACTTCCACCCCCCCACCCCTTTCTCTAGCTCAACAGCTGCTTCCGGGCCTGGCCCTTCCTCCTTCGCCTCCCTGTCGCCCTCTGGGTTAGTGTAATATCACGCGGTGTCGTGGTGATGAGGCCCACTCACCCTGGTTTGGTTTTGGTTTATTTTTGTTGTTTTTCTTTATTTTGTTTTATTTTATTTTTTGTTTATTATTATTATTATTATTTATTGTTTATTTTATTTTGTTGTTTTTCTTTATTCATGGCACCTATCTCTGGGGAAAGCGGATGGTTTTACAAACAAGCTTATAATACACGAATTCTAAGTCACTATTCCCTTGACTGATTGCTGCAGGAATCCTTAAGAACACATCTTAGCCATGTGGGGAAATGAGATTGTTTGGTTTCTACACAGCGGGCCATTTCCCCAACCCTTTCCTACGCAGCACCGAATCTATCGATCCACCCTCAAGTTGTAAGGATGCTTCTTTGTTTGTTTGTTTCTGTCGCTAAACATTCTCTCATATGAGAAGGAAAACATTTTCCCCTTGGATTCTGGGATTCTGGGGTTGCTTCCGCTTGCCCTCACTCTGAGAAACAAACACCATTAGGACAATTGCCTTTGCAGCTCATGGCTTCTGTTTCTGTTCCAGGCATGGGGAGTGGTGGAAAGCCAAGTCCCTTTCCACAAAGAGAGAAGGCTTCATCCCCAGCAACTACGTGGCCAAGGTCAACACCTTAGAGACGGAAGAGTGAGTCCTGGCACACGGCCACCCTGGTGTTTCTGAACGCTGTATTGCATTGCTTGTTTACCCGCTCACCACATTTTTTTTTTCCCTCCCTGCCACAACACCTATAAAATGTGGAAATATCTCCACAGGTGGTTCTTCAAGGACATAACCAGGAAGGATGCAGAACGGCAGCTTCTGGCACCAGGGAACAGCGCGGGAGCTTTTCTTATCAGAGAAAGCGAGACTTTAAAAGGTGGGTGAGTGGTGGGGGACTTCGGAGAAGACTGGGTAGGAACTCAGGGACTCTTCCTGGACGGGAGGCCTAGGGTGTTGTGCACGTTTAGGCAAAAGTGCTACTCCTGAGCTACAGCCCTAGCCCAGGGAATCGCTTTAAAAACCATTCCAAGATGAATAAAATGAAGAATATAGTAGGTTCTGGTATAAGACGGCTGGTTTGGTTTGGTTTTCTTGTTCTGTTTTGAGGCAGAGCCTCTCTATGTAGCCCCTGGCTTGCCTGCAAATCAATATGTAGACCAAGTGACCTCAAGCTCCAGAGATCCCTTGCCTCTGCCTCCCAGGTGCTGGGATTAAAGACCTAGGCCACACTTAGATGTTATTAATTTTAAATATATTATTATTGTTATTATTTATTCATGCGTGTTTAAGAGAGAGAGGGAGTACATGAAGTCTTTTTTCCTTGCCTAGCCATTGCGCAAACCCTTCCAAAGTGAAAATTTCACGTTTTGATAACAAATAATAAACTCAAGCGATAAATGTTAACAAATGAAACGCAGCCATAATTACGGCCAGGTCATAGCACACTTCCTGGTTTGCCGTGTTGTTATGAAAGTGAATCCTGAATGTCAAGAGGAAACTCAAAGTAACTTTTCTATTCATCTAAATGATTCCAGAAAACTGCGGTGAAGAAGGAAATGGCGTGGGGACTCCTGGTCTGGCAAACAAATGTTATTGTCATTTGTCAAGTCAGTCTCACTGTGCAGCCTTGGCCAGCCCGGAACTGGCCCAGGTTCACCTGCTTCTGCCTCCCACGTGCTTGGATTAAAATACCGCAACACCTGGCGGCAGGGCTTTCTATGACACGTTATAAACGTACCTAGTTTTTATTGTACGCTTTGCGGCAAAATGTTCCACAGTGTGGTATAACGTAGACCTCCTGAGTGACACACCGGCATGCCCTCCTCCTCACTTTTCCCCCACAGGCAGCTTCTCTCTGTCCGTCCGAGATTACGACCCCGTGCATGGCGATGTTATCAAGCACTACAAAATTAGAAGTCTGGACAACGGGGGCTATTACATCTCCCCACGGATCACGTTTCCCTGCATCAGTGACATGATTAAGCATTACCAAAGTAAGTAAACACCGAAGGCTGCGAGAGGAAGATTGTTTTTACAGTGATTGATATCGAGGGGCCGACGGCTATCTGTACGAAAACTTTTCTTTCCAGTAATGGTGGCTGATGCCCTACAGGTCGCTCTAACTCAGTATGTCGTTACTCCTTGACTTCCGATGAGCACGCGTTCTCATAAGCCTATCGTGAACTGAAATATTATAAGCTGGAGACGCATCTCATTTGCCTTTGTCTTCGGAACTCCCCAGCTTAATGTCGCCCTCAGCAAATTGGCTCAGTCACTTAAATTTCCCTACAGCTGGACAAAGTCTGCCGGTTTTATAACCTACATGGTTGCAAGCCGCCGAGCGCTAGGCCGGAGGTGGACACAGGTTGGTTGTGTAGGCACACTTTCGTCCTGGATAGAGTGGGCACCATTGAGTTGAGCACTGTAAGCAGGGCCGTCAGTACACCCAGAGTGAGAGGTCCCTGTGATGGCCCCTGTGTGGCCTTCTCCCCAGGGGTGAGCTGTTCGACAGCCAGTGCTCCCCTTCCTGTGCAGGAAAGTCTATATTATTTCTGCACAGTGCCTAATCTTAATGTGTGCAAATGTTTAAAGTAGGAGAGACGCAGCTCTGACACTGAGCGTACTGCATGTATGTAAGAGGGGCATCTGTCCACGGTAAGAGCGCACAGCCGAACGCTGAGGGATGTTTAAAGTAGCAAGTTTGCCTCGTGCCCAATACCGGTTTCTAGTCTTGTGAAGCTCACCTCTGTGGTCTTGGGTCTCTTTGTTGTGATTGACATCAGAGCTGTGGGAGCTGCTGTGGCTGCTTCCTGTTGCCTGCTCTAAGAAGCTTTATGAGAAAGCTCCTAAGTTGAGGCCCAGAAACACGGAGCAAAGGCAAGATGGAGAAAGCAAGGGGTGGGGCTTACAGCATCCTTCCTCCCTCTCTCATTCCAATACACGTTTGCTTCTGCTGAGATGTTGGGGGCTTGCAGTACCACGGCCCCATACTGGAGTGCAGGTAACATAGCTACCTTCCTGCTCATGGGCCACCGAGCTTATGAGGACTCAGGAGCCAGAATACATCTTTGTGTAACAGTCCATCACCGTCTTTGTTGCTTTTGTTTCTCTGTGGTGGCAGTGTTGATGAAAAAATGTTTCAAATTGTCTTCCAGTCATTTTGAAAGTTGTGATTATTCAAAAGTTACCCCCATCAGTATCTTATTTGGTGTTGCACTGGACATTTTTAAGAATAACAGCTGGTTCGAGGCTTCCTGTGCCGGCACTTCTAAAAGAGAAAGAATGCGTTGTACAGGTTCTGCATGACAGATGCAGCCAGTCAGGCTTCTGCACGGAGCATGTCTTGTTAGCATCCTCTGAACAACCCAGGGTTACAACATGGTGCTTACATTGCATTTGGTAATATAAGCAATACAAAAGATGATTTAAAATAAGGTATGCACATGCATTATTTATATAAGGCACTTGAGAATCTGAATTTTGGAATTTAAGGGAACCTTGGCACCCATCTATCTGCCATGGCTACATACTATATTGCTTATGTTTCTTCCTTCCTTTCCTTCTTTCTTTTTTTCTTTCTCTTCTTCCTTCTGCTTCTGCTTCTGCTTCTGCTTATATTTGTTTATTGTGTGTATGTGTTGGGGAATCCAGGTTTGAATCTAGGACATTAAACTTGGTAGCTGTTTTACCGACGGAGCCGTCTCACCAGCCCTGCACGCGTCCCCTAACGTGTGTTCCTCCTTTCGCTGTAGAGCAGTCCGACGGTCTGTGCAGAAGGTTGGAGAAGGCATGCATCAGCCCCAAACCGCAGAAGCCGTGGGATAAAGATGCCTGGGAGATCCCCCGGGAGTCTATTAAGTTGGTGAAAAAGCTCGGTGCAGGACAGTTTGGAGAAGTCTGGATGGGTGAGTGTTCAGCCAGTGTCCCACTCTGGAGAGGATGGCAAAGGGCTCAAGCCTCTGCCAGCCACTGAGCCAGGCAGTGTGCTGCTCAGAAACATCATTTCTTGCTTTCCTGTCGGTCTCAAGCCAAATTCGGGCCTGCAGGATCTGTCTGTTTTGGTCATTCCTTTGGTCTTTTCCAGGATAGGAGCGTGGGTGCTTACCCAGATGGTCTCTCCTCCATCAGTCTGTCATCCTCATAGTCTGGGCTACACTCAGGCTTAGGACCCCCCCCTCGCTTAACAGGAAGCCCCCAATTTATTCATCGTGGGGGCTCACCAACAAAAGACGCCCAAAGTCCCACCATTAATGTGTCCTTCCTTAGAGTCCAGGATTTGCCTCTCAGACAAAGAGGAAGTGCATCGAGATTTGAGCAGAGGCTTTCTGGGGAATTCTTTTTATTTATTTTTAATTTAAATCTTATTTTATATGCATGCGTATTTTGCCTATATATGTATATTTGCACAATTTTTATGCCTAGCACCACTGGAGGCTAGAAGAGGACATCGGATTCCCTGGTAATGGAGTCACAGAGGGTTGTGAGCCTCCCTGTGGATGCTGGGATTTGAACCCAGGTCCTCTTCAAGAACAGTAAGGGACATTAACTATGAGCTGTCTCTCCATCCCCCAGGGAATTCTTCTTGACTATTTTTCTCAAGTTTTCATGGAGTATAAACTAATTTATGATAAGATACATTTTTTTTAGAGTTTCTAAATATCACATTTTTTGTTTTGTTTTTTTTTTTTTTAAAAAAAAAAAAAAAAAAACAAGGATTTTTGCCTTGGCCAGGATAGCTTGGGAGGTTACACGTCTGCATCATTCTGTGCCAACTTTGTGTGGATGAAAAGAAAATCAATTTCTAGGTAGCAGAGGCGGCTAACCTTTGAACATATCACAGCCCTGGTGACAGTAATGGAGGAGCCCAGCCTGCAGCAGCCACAAAGTGTGGCATGGGGACCCGGAAGGAATGTGGGGTTTTCCCAGGCTCTGCTTTCTCCGCTGTGTACTTTGGCCTAATGGCACTCTCACGGCACAAGTCCTCAATATGCAAATACTGACCCGGCTGCAATTAATTGATACTGCAGTGTGAGTTTGAACTCGGAATATTTACACAGCTCCTGCAGACTACAGTCACGTGGCGCTCTCTGCCTTCCTCGTTGGCTGTCTCAGAACCTTTGGAACTGGGCCTGCTTGTTCGCTCTAAGCTCAGTCTCTTACCCCGGCTGCCTGTGTTGCGATACCAGCTCTGTTTCCTCCTCTTGAAAGAAAGTAACCTGACCTTAGCTGACAAAGTTAATGCTGCTAGCAGAGCAATTCAGCGGCCATCAGTCACATAGGGCATGATCCACTCCAGGCTAGCTGCACGCATTTTTATCACCCCAATAACAACAGCCATTACACCCATCCACACCCCTGTTTACTGTTGGTACACTGCTGGTAAGAACATTCATATACAAAATATCATATGAACACATTTTCATTTCTCTTATTTACTAGGGCTATTTACAGGTTACTCTATTTTGAACTCTTTTAGAACCTACAAAACCAGTTTTTAAAAAGTCTTGCCATCTTCCTTTTTCCTGCCTGAGGTGTTTGTATGTATTTGTCTTTCCAGAGTCACAGAACAGGACAAGAATGGTTGAATGTACGCTGTGTAACGCTCACGCCAATTCTTCCCTGTTCGCTCTCGTGTGTGAATGCATGTGCACATTTTGTTGTTGAGGCACTTAGAGTACTCGCCTGTGCTGACTCTTTGCTCCTAACCTTAGCACCTACAGCCCCCTACAGATGCACCAGAGCCCTTTTGACGGTTTTTCAATGCCTGGGAACACATAATTGCACTTAATACATCTTCAACTTCCTGCCTATTGGAAAAATCCCTGTGTCTTAGCTTCATCCTTTAAGAGATGCATATCCTATAAAAACACAGGGCCGTGGTCTTGTCGCCCTAGATTTGGATTTGTTCCCAGGCGTCTTGTAGTGTGGCTCACCTGTCCGTTGTGTGTGGCACCCAAGCATCAGACAGTGCTGTGTTCCTGGTACCGTCAGGTTGCACTAAAGCCCTTTAAGGAAAAGTTCTTCCCTACAGTTTGAAAACATCTACTGCCAGATTACATATTAAATACAAAAGAGAGTCATGAGTCCCCACAGAAATATTTGGTGAGTTCCCTTAAATCAAAGAGAACAGCAGCAAGCCTGGGACCAGCTGCAGTGACCTCACAGACATACATAATCTAAAAACTGTATTTTCATAGACTTTCTCAGTTTTAACCTTAAAGCCAATGTGAAAGGAATGCAGTTCGGTTTTCCTGTGCATATTTGCTGGCTGAGGGATTGACATCTGTCCTCGAGAAGACTGTAGGGCAGTTCAGCTATACTGTGTTTTTCCTGGACTGGACTCATTCTCCCCAAAGTTTAAAGTTCCCTTCCATCCTCCTCAGGTTCAGCTGTGGAACAAAACAAAACAAAACAACAAAAGAATCAAGGCTTAGAACTAGATGCTGAGGGATATCCACACCCACTAGCAAACCGAATACTCTCAAATCCAGTTCGTGGCTTAGGTGGATTGTGTGTTTGGGGCTTACATTTCGATTCATACTATCTAAAAGGCTGTCGTGGTTGCTGTGATGCCTATGAGGATTAGAAAGGCCCATCTGCTTTGGGTCGCACAGATGTCAGGGCAGACGTGACGAGAGCTGCCTTGCTTCAAGTCATCCTTCTACCCTAACAAGGAACAATGTGCCCTCAAATGCATACACCACAGCTCGTGTTCACCCAGTGGCACTTGGTCTTGCTCCCATGCTTTGCCTACAGTGTACAGTGATGCCGTGATCCAGCATGAGGTCACCTTCAGGGATGCAACTGCTGGATCTTGTTTGTTTGTTTGTTCGTTCGAAGATTGGTATTTTATTTACGTATATGCATGTGTGACCGAGGTGGAAGGCCATGTTCACGTGTGTGGCTGCCGGTGGAGGGAGGAGAGGGCGTCAGCCTCTGGAGCTGGAGTTACAGGTGGTAGTGACCCATCCAATGTGGGTGCTGAGGAACCGAACTCAGGTCCTCTGAAGGAGCAGCAGGTACACTTAACCAGTGAGTCATCTCTAGCCCCCAGCTGGTGGCTTCTATGATGCCCTGACTTGTAAAGTTTTAACATTTCCATACTTTGGAAACCTTGAAGTGGAAGCATCGATTTACATCCCCACTGACAGTGTGCCAGGGTCCAGGTCCCAAATGTCCGTCCGCTGCTAGCTGTCTTTTGTTCCGGGAGCTTTGATAGGTTCCTGTGGTAGTGTTCTAAGGGAGGTGAGGCCTGTGGTTTTGATTTGCATTTCCGTGTAGGTGAGCAATGTTGAGCATCTTCTCATGTGCACACTGGGCATTTCTGTGTCTCAGCTAGAGAAACGTGCACTCAGGTCTGTTCCAGTTTCCTCTTTAGTTGGCAAGTGTGGTGGCACACTCCTTTAATCCCAGCCCCTGAGAGGCAGGAGCAGGCAGATCTCTGTGAGTTCAAGGCTGATCTGGTCTACATAGTGATTTCTAGGCTGGTGATACATAGCATGACCCTGTCTCAAAAATCATTATCGAATCCTTTAAAAGAGATAGTCAGGATGAGCTGTCAGAAGTCGGGTTGTAACAGACCCTGCCTAGTAGGACTGTGTCCTGATTGAAAGAAGCAATGCAGGAAAATATTACATACCTAATGATATATACACACAATCCTACAGCACTGTGAAAAAAAACTATAGAGGACAGAATGACTAGGGTGTGTTTCTTTTTTGTTTTTGTTTTTTTTTTAAACATTTTTTTTTTGGTCATTGGCATGCATGTAGAATTATAAGAAAGAACACAGATGGGGCTCAGAGGGTAAAGGTCATTGTCTGCTCTTCTAGAGGACTTGGATTCAATTGCTAGCATCCCACAGCAGCTCTTAGCTGTCAGGAACCCCAGCTCCAGGGGATCTGATGCCTTGTACTGGCCTCCTTGGGCACCAACCACGACTCAAGTACAGACAGATATACAGGAAAAAGACTTAGACTCATAAAATAAAATAAAAAGAAATGCCAAAGTAAAATAGCAATGTACTTAAGAAACAAGTTCAGGGGCTGGGGAGATGGCTCAGTGGTTAAGAGCATTGCCTGCTCTTCCAAAGGTCCTGAGTTCAATTCCCGGCAACCACATGGTGGCTCACAACCATCTGTAATGAGGTCTGGTGCAGACATACACACAGACAGAATATCGTATACATAATTAATAAATAAATAAATAAATAAGAAACAAGTTCAATTTGAAATGAAAGGAAGGAAGGATAGGAAGAAAAAAAGGGAGGGATGGAGGGAACAGTGAAAGCATTTGCCTCCCAAAAGCCTGAACAGAAATGTTCGGGCAAGTGCTCTAGAATCCCCGCAGTCATGAGAAGGAAGCAGAGGACTTTAACTTTGAGGCCAGTCAGGGCTACAAAGCAAAACCGTCTCAAAAATGAAAGTACAACCAACCCGAACTTTCACCAAGAAATTAATGTATAAGCAAAACCTGTTATATCTCTAGAGTAGAAACTGGTGATAATGGGAATGAAAAGCTGGTGCGCACCATGGCGTGGATGCCCTTGGAAGGAGCTGGTCACGGGGGCACCAGAACAGGCAAAGCCTACTGAGTCTGAAATTAGTGCCTGATTGAAAGACTGTGCGATCTCATTGGGGCTTAATGGGAGTGTTTCCAATTGTTTATGGTGATAACGGCCCAACTGTAATGTACTGTATGCTTGAAATGGACAAATAGTGTGACCGGTGAGTTTTGTTTCAACAAAGCTGGCATATATGTGAAATAAATGATACAGTGAGCTTCCAGGTACCACTTTCCACCCCCATAGTAACATCTCACAGAATTCTAGTAAAATATCACTACTAAGATAGTGGCATCAATAGTTCCATTCATTCATTCATTCACTCATTCGTCTGTGAGACAG